TTTGTGCAATAAACAAGAGTTGATTTGCGCGAATCTTCGAGTGGATGATGTGATATTCTTGGACTATGTGCGTAATTGAAGTAAATGGAATGTTGAAAGGAGAATAGACAACTTGTGGAAATTCAGGTTGTGATATGTTTTGATTTGATAGATATTCTGTGGATTATATTTCAAGTGTTAGCGAATGATTATCAACTTTATGGTACTAGAGAAAATTGTCGTAACGATATTTTGTTAATTGATGATACTTTGGAGATAGTAGAGACTATGTAGGAATTGATAATTTGGAGATAGTTTGGATACTAGTATACTGCGGTAGTATGATATTTTGGGCATGACAGATTGTAAGCAATAATTTTCGGTGGATTGATTTGAGGATAGTAATACAAAATGGGGAGACTAAGCAATAGATGTGAAATTTGGTGATGATTAGTAGAAGTGGACGGAAAAAGGAATTTCAGAATTTTAGTGATGCAAATGGTAAAGTTGGGCTTATGCTTGTAGACAGTTGAAATCGCATGGCGACATTACTTGTATGATAAAAATACAAAGTCTTTATGGATCACAAGAGTTTAAGGTATATTCTTACGTAAGCAGAATTGAATATGAGGCAGAGGAGATGGTTGGAGCTTCTGAAAGATTATGATTTGTTCGTCCATTAATACAAGCAAGGCAAGCGTAGTAGCAAATGCCTGGTATGTCTTCTGGAAGTGACAACTTTACTCGCTACTTGGAAGTTTATTCTCGAGGATATGAGCAAATTGGACTTGAAAGCTACATGAGTGATTGTTGATCGATTGACCAAGTACGCGCATTTTTTTTGTCATATCAAGTTGGCTTGTTCTTGCACGCCAAAGGATGTTTATGACAAGATAAAGGTCCAGATTGTTGAAAATACTGGAATTCGGGAAGAGTTAGACTCCAGTGAAGGTGGGGATGAATCCATGAGTGCCAATTCGGATAAACTAGTAGAGTATATAAAAACGTTGTCTCAATGCTCATCTAGTGGAGGTATTCGGCTAGATCTTGTAATGGCTAAGGCACAGTTGTTGACCTTCTACAGACAGAAAGGTTACCAAAAAAAAAAACTTCTTGAACTACAATTTTGTGAAGGCTTGATGGAAAGTATTGCTAAAGCTCCAATGGCAATAATCATGTGGGCAATAACACAAAATTAGCACTCTGGTTTATGAGAACGTGATGGTCTCCTATCGGCAAGATGGTTTGAAAGCCCCCAAAGTCTCGTCTCATGGGCACAAAAACCACTTGAAGGATATAGCTGATTGTAAAAAGAAAGAAGTTTGGCTGAATCGATAGATGATTCTACAGATTATTAGATGAGGAAACTAATCTTGACGGTAAAGCTTCTGTGTGTTGGTCATTTGAGGTATGGTCTAGATGGAAATTCTATCAGTTGACAATTGATAATAAGATGGTATACGAAGTCTTCGAGAACTAATTATTTCTTCGAATCATGCTAGAAGGACTTTCCACTCATGAAAAGGAAATCTAGTATGAAGATTTGTATGTACTGCACGTCACAAATCTCGAAGGTTTTGCAAGAATGGTCAGACTAGTTTCTGTTCTCTGATGCTTATGTGAACGAACTATGAACTACTTTTTGTGATCGAATAATTTTGGGGGTGATGATAAACTTGAAATAGAAAAGGAAGCAAAACTGATTTTGATCGGAGGCGCAGCGAAAGCGTGGTGGACCTTTGGAATATGCTGGTAAAGTTTAAAGAAACAGAAGAGTTTATTTAGAATATATGTGAAGATGCAATGGCAAAATCACACCAGGAGCCTTCTTGGGAAATTTTTAGGAGGAGGAAACACGTAAATATCCTTATCTGTTGTTGATTGAGGTAAGTGCAAATTTTGAGGACGAAATTTATTTTAAGGAGGGGAGAATGTAAAGTATGAGTTTTAAAGGTCAAAAAGTCAAAGGGAAAAAGGAAAAGAAAAGAGAAGAAAAAGTTTGAAAAGTTAAAAAGAATAAAAAGAAGTATTATAAAAGGGGAAAAATGAGACCATCGGCTGAGAGAAGCGAGAGCTCACCGAGAAGAAGAAAGAGAGGAAAGAAAGAAGAAAGAAGGGAGAAAGAAAGGGTTTTTGCACATGCTCGCCACAGGAGTCTCGCCAAGCCGGAATTCGTTCATATCGCCACGCTCGGTAAGTATTCGCACCCATTGTTCGTTCAATCGGAATATTTTTTGGGGTTAGGGCTTATATTTTGGAGTTATGAGTTATTCGAGCGGCGAAGTCTGATTTTTGAGTCGTTGAGCTATGAATATATATAGAATTGGTAGTTTAGGGTGCTGCAAGGCTGTGAGATCTTACGGAACTCGATTTGGACTTTCGGTTTGCCGGATATGAATTTTTGAAGTTGAGCGCGCGCAATGAACAGTGCGCGGCCAGAGGTTTTTAGGCTGATTTTCGTCTGTTTTTGGCTCGATTTTGGGACGGCCAAGTTGGGGCTTTTGTAATACTCTGAACGGGCTTTCTTTTGACTATAAGTTTGCTAGGATCAGAGTTCGATGAAGAAAGTTATGACGCGATCAAGTTTCGCGTTCAAGTTTTGCGTTGCGGACGGTTTGGATAATCGTTTTGGATGAGCAATTTGTGAACGCCTTTGAGTTGTCCTGTTAGCGTTTAAGCATCGTTTGGCCGTTTTGTAGTTGTCGTAGTATTTTACTTGGTTTGGACGTCGATTCTCGTTTAATTGTTAGGGTTACGAGATCGTCGGTTCGAGTGAGCGTCGTTGTGTGATTTTTGGGGATTCCAGGTGAGTGGTGCTATCTCTTCTTCGGTTTTGTAAAACCCATGCCTTGAAATATATATAGAACTTAAAATAGTATTGTTATTGCATAAAAGTTCGGGTCGGGCATTTACTACCCTGTTGATTATTTGAAATGTTATGGTAAAGCATTTCTAGAAATGGCTTATATATTGATTATCGTGAAATGAATTGAGAAAATTCTTTATGAAAAGAATTCTTTTGTTGAAGGTTATACATATTGATTTATGAAGAATTATGAAATGGTTATGGAAACATATTATGAAATGTGTCGTGAAAGTTTATATATATGTATTGTCTTGTGAAGCTGGTTTATGAATGATTTGAGAAATGGTATGAGAAAATAGCGGATGGGTTATGTTGTGAAAAGTTAATTGTTTGGTTTATGAGATTGATTTGTAGATTGGATTTCTGGTATTGGAAAATGATTGTTTGATACTCAATATCGCTGTGAGCCCATTGAGGGGCTTGAGGGTATGCATATCGAATTTAGGATATCCTTCTGGGCCGAGCCACCGGCTTTGTAGGTGGAGACCTTGCCAAGGGGGGAATCTTGGTAGCCTTGTCACAAGGCTTTGTGTCGTGACCATGGTTAGATATTGAGCAATAGATTGGTCGATGGAATGGACCATCGATGTGTGATGTGATATGAGATTAGCCAATGGAATGGACCATTGGCATGTGCTTTTGATGAGATTCATTAATGGAATAAACCATTGATGTGTGATTTGAGATTAGTCAATGGAATGGGCCATTGATGTGGTTTTTATAGAGATTGATCAATGGACTTGACCATTGATAGTTTGAATTGTGATGATGGATTTAAACGTATATTTGGGACTTGTATAAAGCTTTGATGAAATAAAATAACTCGTATTTGATTGATATATATATATATATATATATATATATATATATTATATCTTTGGATTGAAGTACGAGTTTCTGGTATGGCTTTATGTATACATGCATAGTGGTTGCTCGATCTGCTTAGAAGAGATACGCACTGCTTACTGAGCTGTGGTTGCTCACCCCTCTCTTTCCCCAATCTTTTCAGGTTCCTTGGTTAGTAGCCAATAGAGCGAGAGCGATGTAGTTGGGACTTTTTGGGAGTCGGATTCCTTGTGGTTTGAGGCTGCGTCCTTCGGGTGGAAGGACGGCCGTGTCATCCCTCATCTTGGTAGGTTTTGGAGTGTGACAGTGGTTACATCAAAATGCACCCCCGTGAGTTAATTTCAGTTTTCACCTATATCTCGTAAATTTCTCTCCCTTTTATTTGGTGTACAGTTCGGTTCATTCCTGCTCCCTTCACTATCCTAGAAGCCTGCCAGGAGCCGCTCATTATGTAGGCCCTCTGGCCTTGACAATCACTCCCTGCCTTTGTCGAATTGGGTCGTTATAGGTCCACCAGCTTTTGCCTGGTTTGTCCTCGAACCACATGCCTACTAGAAGAGATCCCGCTTTGATACCATATTATGACATCCGTAAATCGACTCACTGAGGTATTGTCCACTTTGGCTCATCCCACACTGAAGTTCACGGTTTTGTCCTTCAACGTACAGGTGGGTATCTTCCCAGGAGGTCATTCATCCTAGGCATACTCCCACGTGAGCACGCTTAACTTTGAAGTTCCAAAACTAAGTATTACCGTTACGTCAAAAGGCTCCTTAGTGAGTTAATTTCAGTTTTTACACGCATACACACATACACACACACACACATATATATCTCAAAATCGCTCTTCTCATATTCGGTGCATAGTTCGATTCATTCATGCACCCTTCATCATCTTAGAAGCCTATCAAAAGACTCTTCTTATCCACACCCTCTAACTTATTTTCTGAATTTTTTTGCTAGTTTTTCTTTTCCTTTTTTCTTCCTCGTTTTTCCGCCGGCCATAGGCGAGAGCCGATGACCTTCACTTGGTTTGGGCGAGGGCGTCGGTGCTCGCCCATATCTAGGTAGGGGTCACAATGCCCTCATTGGTCAATGGGCAAGGGTCGCCGACCAAGACTAGGAAAAGAAAAGAAAAAAAATTTACAAAAATTATCCACGTCGGCGATATCCCGTATCATCATCGTCACATGAAAATATTTTTCCCTGCGCGAACTTTCTAGAAAAGAGAGTTTTCCTTTTTCTTTGGCAGTGCCAATGAAGTTTAAAAACGACCTTACCAACGGTTCTTCCCGCAAAGCATTTCCCGCTGCCGAAACGACGTCGTCGGACGGATCTGATCGGCAGATTTTTTTTTTCTGGGGACAGGGGAGGAGCGCTTGCTGCTATCATCATCATCATCATCGCAACTTCGCAAGCTGCGGGACGGCGCTCCCTCTTCCATGGCTTCCATCTGCAACCCCTCCCTCTCTTCCCTCCCGAAGCTCGAGAGCTCGCCGAGCCCCGGCAGAGCGCTCCCCTCGTCGTTCCACCCCGCGCCGAGGTCGAAGCGTCCGAACCGCTCCGCCGCCTCCTCGATCCCGGCTCCGAGATGCCGCGCGGCGGCGGCGGCGGCGCGGAGCTCGGTTCCGCGGCGGGGATCGATGACCACCGACAACCTCCGCCGCTTCGTCGACCTGAACTCGGGCAAGTGGAGCGGCTCTCTTCACGTGAGTCCCGCGTTCGGTCGGCCCGCTCTTCTTCGTCTTATCTTTGCAGTAGGGTCGTCCTCGTGCCTCTGCCGTTCATGTTGCTGCGCTAATGCCTGACCCAAGAGCAGGCCTGAAATGATGTTAGGGTTTGACTGGTCGTAGAGGGTGCTTGGCGGATTGAAGTTTTTTAGGATTAGAAGAGGTCGTTGAGTGGCACTGACAACATCATTTAGAAGCATCCGAGTCATTCGGTGTTTGACATTTGGTTTAATAGCTGATTCTGGGTCGGTGGTGTGGAAGCTTCGCTGTTACTAATGCCTTACGACTCGCGTTGGCAACTGGATGCGAAGTTTTTTATAATTGATGCAATGTCTTTATGTTGAAGTATGTGTTCCGCGTCTGCAGCAATTTGATGCCCGCGGGAATCTGTTGCATAAGATAAGTACGAAGCTCGCCGCGAGTTCTTATGGAGAAGATGAGCTCATCAGTCTTATCCAAACGTAAGACTCCATCGGGCTTCTCCTTGTTGAAGTTTCGATGCAGGCATCCGTTATGGTCTAATTGGACTGCACCTTGTAGGCTTTACATAAAACAGCCGCAATCAGGCACTTCGATTTCGGAACACGACGAGGAACCTGAATGGGCAGAGTATAAGATAAAAGAAACCAACATGTTCACTGTCGACAAGTATCAGCAGGTAAATTTCGGATATGCCGATGCTTGAGAGAGTTCGTGTCGCTGGATTGTGCTTCATTCATTGGCTCCTGTTGTTATCCTACATAATTAGTCCATAGTTAGGATTTTTCCCAGATGAGAGGGCGTTTGCTCTGAGGTATCAGACGGCAGGCATGCTTGAAACTGTATTAAGGCAAGGAGTTCTCGGGGAAGATGACACCGGCGAAGAATCTCCAAAGTGAGTGCTTGTTTTGTTTAAATTTTTTTTTCTCGGTCATCTGTCCATCTTTGGCCGTCGTTCATGGTGACTAAGGCTAGAGAGAAGGCAAAGGTGACTAATTCGCTGAATGAAAAACATATATCCTTGTGCATTTTAAATAAAGCATCGTTTTCTTTCCTCTATGGCTTCCTGTTGCATTAATTGAATAGACAGAACAAATGAGCGATAGCTACCTAGGTTTCAGACAATCATTTCTCCACTATGAACAACAACCGTGTTGATGGCTTGGCACATTACGCTTCAATTCATATTTCCAAGGACGGGATCTACGCGCAGAGCAGGTAGACTGAAAAGAATGTGGTCTGAATTGTCAAATTACTTTCAACCAGGAAAAGAAAAGGAGATAAGTCTTAAATAATGATTACTATTTGTAGGTCTCAGTAAACCTGCTCCTCTTGACAGAATCCAGAGAAATGAGTTACACAGCTTGTCCCAATGAGGGTTGTATTCATTGAAAAGGCAGATTTGCGCCTCAACAGATTTACAAGCTGCTTTGTAATCAATTCTGGAGATGCATCATAGCAGAGACCGATTGTACAGGATTGTCGATAATTTGTTGATTCTTCACATTTATTTTGGTTGGTTCCGTTACATGACCTGTCTAGACAGTCTACTCTTTAGCTGGAGACTTTAATGCGATCAATAGAGCCTCCGTTCTTTTATCGTAGCCAATTGCATCCGCATTTTCAGGTGGAGCATCGTCGTTGTCTGATCTTTTCTGTTGTTATGGCTAAAGCTTCTGTCTATGAGGTTTCAGAGCTTCAAGATTATCCAGTGTATCCTGCTCTTCTTTAGCGCTCCAGATTCTTGCTTCTTTCTTTTGCTGAAAAGGCTTTGCTGCGCAGAAATCTCAAGCTTCCATCTCGCCGACCTTCGCTTGTATGTGAGAATTGCCTCTATTCGCAACAAGCAGATATACGAGCAAGAGCATTCCACATCATGGACCCAAAGGGTGTCATTGAAATGCTTCTCATATTTCTCGAAGAAAGAGGAAATGGGTTGTCTGTACCTCCTTCACTTGAGAACTCTGACGTAAGTTTTGAGATATTGCTCATCTTTTAAGTGGCTATCGAAAGTGAAAGATTAAGTATTTGCTGTCTTTCCTCTTAATTACAGGGAAGCATAGATAGGATTATGCCATTTCTCGGCAACTGGAAGGGGCATTCCGTAACAAAGCGTAGTGGTGTTTATGGAGCAACAATTGCTGAAGCTGGTTCAGTTGCATTACTTCAAATGGATGACAGGGGGCAGTTAGTTCAGGTTTGTTGTAAGTAGAATTCAGTAGCTAATATAAGCTGGAAGTGATTATATTAAATGTCATCTATGAAGATGGAGAACTTTAGAGAAGCAGACATCGAACTTGTCAGATGCTATTAACCTGTTAATGTTGGCTGTAAGTGATTCAGAAATGTATATTACAAAGCTCTGGTTTGAGTTTTGCTTATCCCAAGATGCATGAGTTTCGATATGTCCACAAATGGGTGACTCCCACTGAGAAGTTACACAAACAGTTTGTTCGTGGTTCCACTAATCTCTACTTTGATTAAACAAAATTTAATGGCAGTCAGGTCTATCAATGCTGACAATGCAATTCCATAAAATTATCCTTAATAAATTGTGCAAAGCAATAAATGTGAAGGCTGCTGACATAATTAAGGCTACTACTTAGGTAGTTGTCCTCTTGCTCCACTTTCTCCAATTACCTCAACCAGCTCCCTTCTCTCAATCTTGCTGACTTGGTTTAATGAGCCGCAAAAACTGCAAATTATGCTTTAGAAAAGTTAAATGTGTTTTCATGTTCAATTAGTGACTCACGAGTTTGTTCGCTCTTTCCTCATCATCATGCCAGGAGATTACTACAACATCCTGTAGCAGTGAAGTCACCAGCAACGTGCATTGGACGGGTACAATGTCAGACAATGTGGTCACATTTGACGGTGGGTACCAGATGACGCTGCTGCCTGGAGGCATGTACATGGGCTGCCCATCTAACGTAGCTAAGAGCGTGGCCGAGTCTAAGTCATTCCATTTGGAATTCTGCTGGCTCGAGGCACCTGGAAGGAGACAGAGGCTTATTCGCACATATGATGTGGAAGGCTTGGCCGTCTCATCGACATACTTACTGGAAACCAAGTCTTGAGGTTGAGAAAAGGATAGGTTCCTGGTCAATTGTAAAACTAGACACGATTACTTGTATCGATTGAGTCGTGCAAAATGAGTATTCTGTTCGAGCAGAACTTGGAAGCAAGAATTTTGTCCTAGCTGCGCGTATAATGTCGAATGAGATGCAAGACAAATTCATGCTTTTGGAGTCACCTTATTCGTCATTTAAAGCGACTTTTTGGTTCATTAGTCTTGCTGTTCAAGTTGCAAGTGGGAAACCAATTTGCTGGCTTTGATTGCTCTGTGACAACTTGCGAACTCTGTATTGCTGGAAAACGATCGGTGAACTGGAACGTGGGGTTACATACAATCAAGAATGCCAAGTTGCAAGAGTAGGCCCTCAGCCTCCGTATCGATGCTGACATCGGCAAAGCACGAAACTCATGGGTAATGGACATCAGCTCGACCGAGCGAGCCTAACCTGTATGTTAGTCTAGACAAGCTTCCCCATTTTCATCGCGCTCCCGTTTCTTTGCTACAAAAAATTTCGAATCCTGGACGAAGCATCGCCATCCTTCCGGTAATATCTTATCTTCCTATCTCGAATTCGAGTGATCCTGAACGCGAGCGGATCGCCTTGAAGCCCAATCATGGAGGATGTCCGGACTACACGCTGCTGCTCAACTTTTTAGCATGAATTGAATGCTGCTGCTGCTGCTGCTGTTGGACTAGGACATCGACTTCAATTTGTGGTACCAACAAGCTTATTGTGTGTCCCCATGTGCACGTCAAGTCCACCCCAACTTCTTCTGTTCATTCGATGTATTCGGTTCGAGCTTCCGACGTCGTATGGGGGCCTGCAGAAGCCACCTGTGCAATTGAAGGCAAAAAGGACTGTCATGAGTACCCCCCGGCCAATCTGCGGGCAATTTGCCAAGATGGGCGTGGTTCGTACTCGTAGTTTGCTCATCTTCCCACGGAATTCATTCCGTTGTCTCTTGCGTGACAGAAGAAACTGCTCTATTGGTAATCTCTCTCTCCAAGCAAAATCTTTCTTGACCTCCTTTTCCAATATCAACAGGTGCCCGGAATTCTTTGAATACCTATCTAATCATCGGATTATAATAGAAGACCCGAAAATCATATCAAGAGACTATACAAGTGTATTGATTCAAACCCAAATCTGGAACAAGAATTTTACTTAAACCGAATTGAATTATGTAGCTCCGAACTCCCGTTTTGTTAAGATTTTTGGTCACTCTATTTTGCTAATAACAATAAATTATCACGGACTCAAAAAGCCACCGAAATTAGCTTTGATTATATGTCGGCTCTGAAACCGGGAGACCTGATACATAAAATTCTTCGTATTCAAAAGACATCACGATCCATTTTCCGTGGTTTACATGATAAATTATTTGGTCCTCGACATTTTTATTAGAAAATAGCTAATGAGAGACGCTAGTTATTAAAATCCTTTTTTTTAAATTTTTTTTTACTGAACTCCCTTGTGGATAGCGAAGACAAAAACAAAAGAGGCCAGGACAGCAAGTGGCGGTGGGCCGGTGGTTGCGGCTCGCAACGACAATAAATGTCGTCGCCACGTGCGAGAAATTAAAAAGCATTATAAAAATCGGGTGGGAGGAGAAGAAACACCCAAAAAAAAAATAATAATCAAGAAACGAAACGAGAGAAAACGGGACGCCAGTGAGAAAAGGCCAAAGCACCGCTCGTTTGATGCGAGAGCTTCCGCGGCGGAGAGAAAACACCACGCACACGCAGAGCCCGAGGGAATGGCCGGGAAGAAGCAACAGCAGCCGCCGCGGCCGCCGCTGCGGCCCACCATCTCGGTGCCGCCGCGGCCGGCGGCGGCCGCCATGTTCGGGCCGTGCGGGAGCCCCGGCCCGCTGTCCCTGGTCTCGAGCTTCTTCGCCGAGCCCGACGGCGGGTCCTTCTCGGAGCTGCTCGCCGGGGCCATGTACTCGCCCCTCGCCGTCAGCGCCTCGGGGCCAATAAGCTCGTTCCTTTTGGACTACCCGCGCGATGACCCGCCGTGGGAAGTGGAGTTTCGAGATGGGCCGGCGAGCTTGGCGGTTGCCAGGTCGCCGTTGTTCACGGTGCCCCCGGGCTTGAGCCCTTCTGGGTTGCTCCTGTCGCCGGGTTTCTTCTCTCCTAAGGTGATTTGTTGCGCTTCGTTTCGTGGGTGTTCGGGATGATATCGAGATTCCACCTTTGTTTTTGTTTTGTGAATGAATGCGTCTTTTCGGAGTTCAGCTGCAGTCGCTAATCTTGCGACCGCAGAAATTTGCATCCCAAGAGAGATAATTGGTTAGAAAGATGAATTTTTCGAGTATCTCTAGTGCTTCACTTATATTGTCTGAAATCAGAGTCCTGGCTATGGGATCAAGGCGAACGGTCCATAGGTGAGAAATGGACTTAAGTTTGAAATGTCATTTCCTTCAAGAACCTTGTCTCAAAGGTCTCACCCAGATTGTTGCTGCAGTTGTTGCGGCAATTAGTGCGCATTTCTTCTGAGCAGGCTCCATTGTCTGAGATTTTTTAATTAACTACCTAGGCAAGTTCCGTGCTCTCTCACTCGTTACATGTCTAGAGTGTTGATTTTCGGTTATTGGAGATGTCTCGTCTTAGACTCTGACCCAAGATAATTTTATGCTACTGTAATTTTGAGACCTTAAGAAGATCAAAACAATACAAAATCCTCTGGAGAGTAGCTCCTGGGATTGTTTTAGTTGCACATAGAAACTCACCGTTTACAAAACCTAGATAATGTGCTTTCCTGAAGTTATATATGAATCTCCTCTAATGGTCCTTATGCACAAAGCAGAGTCCCTTTGGGATGTCCCACCAGCAGGCCTTAGCACAAGTGACTGCTCAAGCTCAGGCTGCACTAGCATGGTCTCATGAGCACTTGCAATTAGAAATTGATCCTCCATCGGAAGCATCAAAAGAGCCACTCCCAGACGAACCATCTCTTATGCTGAATGAGGATTCACATCAGCTGTCTCCATCAGATGCTACCACTTCCGTGGCCGAATCCTGTGATATCTCTAGTTCCAGTCACAAATGGGAAGCTCTTCCCATGGTTCTCGAGAAGCCTACTGAAGATGGGTATAATTGGAGGAAGTATGGCCAGAAGCAGGTTAAGGGCTGTGGTTATCCCCGGAGCTACTACAAATGTAGCCATCTGAATTGCTCAGTCAAGAAAAAGGTCGAGCATTCTCTTGATGGTCGAATAACGGAGATTACTTACAGAGGGCAACACCAGCATGAAATGCCTCAAGCCAAAAAGACTTCAAAAGATGGTAACAACTTGAACAGGAGCACAAATTCTCTGGCTAAACCTCAAGCTGTGCTTCAGGGTCAGAATGGGCGCCAATCTGCTCCTGCAATGCTTGGGAGTGGGAGAGATGAGGAGTCTTCTCGAGCAAGTGCTTTGCATACCAGCAGCTTAAGTAACTATGTGGAGTTAGATGATTCTAAATCAAAGGGAGAAGGATCTGATGTCGGTAATGATGATGCTGACGCAGGTGATGATGAACCAAATCTCAAGCGGAGGCAAGTTTTAACTATGATGTTCTACATAAGCTTACTGTTTTTCTTCTTGTATACTCTTTTTACACAGATTTATATTATGCTTTGGCTTGTAGGATTGTGCCAATTCAATCAAGCAAATATGTCACGGAACCCAAGATCGTTCTGCAGACAAGAAGTGAAGTTGATCTGCTGGATGATGGCTTCAAGTGGCGCAAATACGGGCAGAAAGTGGTCAAAGGGAGTTCCTACCCAAGGTACTGAATTTTCTGTGTTTATTGATGAAATTGTCACGAGAGATTTTTGGTTATTCCATAGGCATTTCTTCCCATTCTTGCCTGCTGTTCGTTGGCTTGACAATCTAATCATGCTTGGAATTGCAGTCTTGATGTCAGATGCCATTAGCCCTTGAAATTAGATTTTGTTGTCTTGCCTCGTCAGATGTCAAAGATGTTTATGAGCAAGTGTTGTTGATCCATACAGTGTGTATAGTAGATTTTTTTCTGATGGTCAGTCAATACAGTGTATATAGTAGATTTTTTTCTGATGGTCAGTCAATACAGTGCATATAGTAGATTTTGAACTCAAACGTGAAGCCCTTTTTTGGCGACTTTTGTCTGTCTGTAATGGGGTGGGGAGGCAGGATGTTGCCTATAGTTTTTGCCATGTCTCTATGCCTGAACAAGCCAAAGCATAGGAAAGCAGTCAAAACTTGGGGAAGGGTGTCTTTGGCTTCAAATAATGAGGTGAAATACTCAATGATCTCAAAGAAGCCCCTTAGATTTTAGCAATGTGTTTCTCAATACTTTCAAAAATGCAGGGTCACCCAAATTGGTTCAGTTGAATTCGGTGCAAAATCATACAGCAGCAAAAACATTGTGCATGCAAAACAAAACCAGGGAAAAGATTTTGCTGGACATCTTTATGCTCCAAGGATCTCTTCTGAAGTGTCAAGAGTAACATATATTCCTATCATTGTCTTATGCCATCTCATAGATAATTGGGTGAAGTCATCAGGAGTATGGATTATTAACATTCTAGTTATTGCGTCATCTGTTTAAGACTGTCTTTTCTTGCATACTCGATAGGTGGTAAAGATATCCCGTCAGGAATACCAGATTGTTGTTACAACACCTTTTACTCTGTCTTGTTTTGCTTGCATTACTTTAATCATCCAATCTTAGATCACAATTGAGCCCACCCAACTGCGATTTCTGAGGTGCGACAAGTCTTTTTCCTTCCACAATTTTAGCACATAGGAGTGAAAAACAGCCTATATATGTTGCCTGGCGTTAATGTTTTCCTTTGCTTTCCATGATGTTGAAGTTGAATATTTCATAAACGATGCTCTCTCTCTCTCTCTCTCTCTCTGTTGGCTGGAAGAGAGATTGATTTTCCAAATAGTACAATCCAATATTTGAGCGCTTCAATTAGCATTTTCTTCTGTTAAGGACCGCTCTGATGCAATATAAAATCACTCTATGCTGCGCAGGAGCTACTACAAGTGCACTTACGCAGGCTGCAATGTCCGTAAACACGTCGAAAGGGCTGCGTCGGACCCCAAATCCGTCATAACCACTTACGAGGGAAAGCACAATCACACCACACCATCTGCTGGAAAGCGAGGCCGCACCGTTGAGGCAACGGAATTTGGCGATGTCCAAAGACCGTCAGTTCTACGACTGAAAGAAGAGCAAGTGGCTGCTTGAGCCTTAAGCTACTCGATCCTCACCTACTTAAAAGAGCTCATGGACTTCGTGGATCTTGGTCACAGTCGCGCAAGCCATCTATGGTCGAACAGAAGTGTGTTAAATATGTAAATGAGCGAACCCTCTTGCTGTCACTTGGGGACTGGTATTTTCCATGCACAAAAACCACACCAAGTGCGCAGGGGAAGGTTATTGCTTATGCTTTATGCATCTCCTCCTGTAACTAAGCATCTGTAACTCTGTTGTTGTATCAAGTGCCAAGGCCGAGTCTCCCAAAAAAAGTGAGATTTCAAGGAAGTCTTTACTCTGTTTTATCAATTGGCTCCCTCTTAATTGATTCCGTGCTTAAAAAGAGAAGCTTTTTACATTGCGGGACGATTCTTGCTAATGCAACCCTTTGTATAGAGGAGCGTCCGCTCCAGTATCGACCAACTGGTCTTTGCATGGAAAAGGGCAACTTCTGAAACAATTCCATGGCTTGAACATCATTTACAGCACCAACTCGAAAAAAATTGCAGTTTTGGCATGGAAATAATATATGATCAGATTCTCTAAAAATCGTATGGCAAATTGAAATGGCAGAGCAGCTTCCGAAGGTGAATCATTCATTATTTGCCTCACAATCATCCAAAGCGCAGACTAAGATCTGCATTCAATAAACAACATCGAAAAGGCCCCGGATTTCGAAATGCAGAATTAAGATTCAACACCGAGATGCAAAATGGAGAGGACCCATAGCGAAAAGGAAGGTTTTTTTTTTTGTTTAATGTAGGACGAAACCAGTCGCATTGATACCGATTCAGTTCAAAACCTTTCAATTGAACTAATTTAGTTCTAAACATTTTGTATTTATGCTAATAAAGTCAATCCGGTCAATTTTTGCTGAAAATTACTGGCATGGATGCCGGACGCCCTATGTGGCATGGTTGGCGCAAACATAGAAATTTTTTAATAATATTTTAATAACTTTTTAAATTTTTTATAATTTTTTAATAACTTATCAACTTTTGCAGACTCTATGTACATGACATTGGGAAACAAATACTAAAAGTAACGTAACTTTTGTATGATGTTTACTTTAATAGAAAAACTTTTCGTTAGATCACTTAAGTTCCACTTTTTTTTTAAAATGATCACTTAAATGTCAATTTCGATTTGAAATCCAACATGATAATATTTTAACATTTTTTCTCAGCTACGTAGCTGTTGGAAATCCAATGTGGCAAAATTCAATGAAAAAACCCTTAAATGATGCCGTTTCGCATGAAAAATCCCAAATTTCTCCTCTTCTTCAAACCTTGATAGCATGCTTGCTGATTTATTACAAAATTCATCTCTCCTTGAATTCTTCAAACCCTAATATATTTATAGCCGATTTATCCCGAATTTCACCTCTTCTTGAAATCTTATTCCAAATCGACAATTATTGGGCAAAATTAAGATCTCAATCTTGCAATGAAGAGGGGAATAAGCAGAAACGGCTCAAGTTCGTGCCATCAAAGCCAAGACAAAAGTGGAAATAAGGGTGCATTTGTTTCACGGAAAATGTAACGTTTTTGGAAAATGTTTTCTGGAAAATCATTTTCCAGAAAAATAGTTAGTTTTCCTTTGTTTGGTGATATGTGATTGCAAATATTTTCTGGTGTTTGGATCTCATTAGGAAAATGATTTCAATTCCATGATTTTATTTCAGGTAAAAAAAAATCTAATTTTTAAATATTTTTATTTTTAAAAATAAAAAAGAAAAAGAATAAAATATTAAAATATTAAAAATGTAAAGGGAAGCAATTCCGGAAAGTGTTTTCACATTCTTAGATTAGGGAATTCACTTTCCTAATTTTATACACTAATATTTTCCTTGACTGGAAAGTGTTTTCGGTTGATTAATCATTTTCAGTGAACCAAACGGGTGAAAGTCCGCAAAACGGATTCTCCAAAAACACTTTCCCCGGGACAAACGCACGCACCCTGAGTAGAATGCTAGCCAATTTGTCCCAAAATCCACCTCTTGAAACCCCAATTCAAGCCGGTGATTTTGAAGCAAAATTATGGAGAGGAGAATAAGCAGGAGCGGCTCAAGTTCTTGTCAACAAAGCCAAGAAGAAGGTGAGGATAAGCAAAAATGCTTCCCGATTTGGCACCGATCCCTAATTTTTTCCCTCCTCCCAGTCACCGAGCCCTAATTTTTCCGACGCCGATCGAGTGAATGAAAGACCCCGCAGGAGCGCGTGATGGAGGGTGAACAGCCAACAAGAGAGAGCAAGTGAACAGAGAGAAATTCAGGTGCGGCGTCGTTTTAGTATGAAATGACCATCTCATCCTCTACATTGGACTTGTTTTTTTAATAATAATACTAAAATCAGCGTCGTATGAATGTTATGACAACACTTTCAATTTTTCTTTTTTAACTAGACATTACTCTTTTCTTTGAAAGCATCCTCAATGACTCGACACGGCAAGTGACAATGTTACCAGTAGTCCCTCAAAAGGGAATTTGACAGCATCATTCCAACAGGATACAACAATTATATATATATAACATTACAACATCCAGTAATGGCGGAGTAGAAACCGATTTTATGTTTACCTTGGTCTCACATGATTAATGAACCAGGGACATATGAAAGGTTTCAATTTAAATAATTTGCATATTTATAGAGATTTTCTTTCCCAACAGGATTGAGACAGAAGGCATGGACTTCCCCCTCTGAAGCCCACCGTTATGGTTGGTAGTTAGCATTGATTTGATTTCTCTTAGAAGGGGGAGTTCTCAATCATCATCCACCGTGACCAGCGTCGGTATATGGCCGTGATCGATGAAATCAATCTTGTTCAGTCTAACGCAACACAGCACCTGTTCTGGCAGCTCCTCCGGCTTTTGTGCCTGTCGGGTTTTCAAGAACAGAGCTCAGAAGTTTAGATGAAACATGCAAAGAATTCGGCATTTTACGGGACACAGTATTAGATGAAGTACTCAGTTTTAACATCATAGATAGATGGTCGTGAGATGTAAATTCAAATTCCTTGTCGATGCATCAAAAGTTATTGGATATGTCAGATATGAAGGGCAATGTCTAACAGGAGTTGCATGGCAGAAGGGTTACCTGAATAGTTAGACCCAAGTCGAGTATTCCGTTCTTCAACCGTTCCCGGAAAGCTTCCAACCCCTTTCGAGATATAAAGCTGAATCGGTGAATGTCCAAATCGATCTCAAAGTAATTGGGTCCCTGCGTTAATGGATCGAAGTGACAATAACCTCAGAACACGAGTAACTCAGTTTGCAAGGAAAAGGGTTAACTTATTATAATAGTAAAAAACAACCTATTATTGCAGCTCACCTTATAAAAGTTATGTTGAGGGCGTGAAAGAACCGGCTTTTCATTGTATGCTTGTACTAGTTTTCTCTCGGTAGAACTTAACTGGAGATCCTCAGGATTCACCAAACCAGCCATGATCTTCAGCCTCTCTCTAAAAGGAACGGTGGACTCTTTAGCAAAGCCTTTAACCTTCTCCATCTCATCCTCGACCAATTTCTGCATGAGGAACAAGATATCGTAGCAGGAAAAAGGAAATTCTAAATCACCAAACCGAGTTGACTATTCAAGTATCGGAAGTATATGATTGGACTTGAGATTTTCCTTGAATTATGCAGGTTTCAAACGGACCTACAGCGACTAAACTTAGCAAGGAAATCCAATCAATAATTTGCTGGCGTGTTTGGTTTTTTGCATAAGACCGCATGAACTTGGCACTAGGAGCGCCAAACAACCGATCCAGTTCAAGTGGATCACACATGCCCCCATCAGAGGGATGTTAATTAGGTCATTACAGTCGAAAATTATGATCCCAAGGCTGAGACAGATCCTTCGAAACATAAGAACAAGCATTATATTGCAGGCCACTCCTTTTGTCATAGCCTTGCATTCCTTTACATCCTAACTTGATTTGACTATGTTCCTTAGCTATAGCTAGCAGTAAAAAAGAATGCAAATAGGAACATTGGAAGGGAAGGTAAATCACCTGGATGCTGTCCTGATATTGTGAAGAGATGTCTTTCTCAAAACTCTCGGAAACTTTGAAGTACAAGATAAGACTCATTCCTTCCCCATCGCTATCACCAAGGAACATCGCAGCAGGATAAGTGGGCAACTGCAGAACGCACACAATTTGGATGATGAGATGAGAGAGCTCATGAGAAGTGGATCACGAGACATAACATGATGATAATCTGACAAAAGCAAACTTCCTTGCTTCAAAAGTAAGAAGGCAAACGAGGAAAGTGGATGGGACCTACAAGCATTCTCATGCAGGGCTTACTTGAATATTTACAACAAGAAGAGGAGGCACTTTTCCATCTGCTTTCACATTGGGTAGCTCGAGGTGTTGGGCTATATGGTTTATTTTTCTAGGGCACATAAATAGATCAACTCCGATTGGTATATACGGGCTGTCATCTGAAGCAGCGGACTTCCGCTTATCTCTGCATACAGCCATCAGCTGATTAGGCTCCACACAATCAAAAAAACCCACAACACACAAGCAATATAATTGGGTCCTTGAAGGAACAATCTTTTAAGACGTTTGATATGTGAAATAAAGAAACTAGTGGAAGTATAGCATCTGAAAAATCATTGTTTAGTGGTGCATGGTTATCATGAAAGTTCGTGACAAAAAAGAGCATTGACATCGTACTTGAAGTAGTTTTCGCCCCGAAGTTTAAATTTCGAGGGCGGAAGCTCAGACCAGCATCCATGGGTCGGTTTTTCACCAGTGCAGCAAGGAATGATCAATCCTGCTCGGGGGCGATATAAGAATCTTTTTGATGCACCTGTAAATACACCAACCCATCTCATACTATAGAATTTACCGAGACATGCAATAGATGCTTTAATTGTCGTAATTGGTAATACAAACAACATCAATTCACTTGTCAAGGACATAGATGTATATCAGCATCTATCCCTAATATCGATAGATTTATAAGGCAACCAAGGAACTCAAGTATGCAATAATCACATCATATAACATAAATTAAGCTTGAACATCAATGGAAGAAGGTCCCTTGGAAGACTTACATTGTTCCATTGTTTCTTCTCCATCACAGGACCTTCTCTTGAATGAAAGCCTAAAAACTGCAGACTTTTTTCTTTGAGCCTGTGGGCCCACATTTTGAGTACTTAAGATCTTGTCGTTAAAACTCACGGAAGGAACTAAACGAGATAGGCCAGTTTTCAATATTTTCTCTTGGCATTTCTCCTCAGAATCGCGTCTATACTCTTTAAGACCTTTGAAG